TAAAAGTGGAAAATTGGGAATTATTTACATTTCATGCTATTGCTATTCTACTCTAATAATCACAGATGTGTGACGTATTTTAATGTATGATAAGAATTAATAACTGATAATTAATACTGATAATTAATATTGATGATAAATACTTCTGACTAAAACAGATAAGTCACCTGTGATAATATTATATATACACATATATATTATAAATAATATATATATATATATATATATATATATATATATGTGTATTTATAATTTTTTGGCGGAAAGATCATCTCTATGTCACGAATGCAATTAGTGCATGTATGCATTGTATTCCGCAAACTTTTTAGTTAGAATTGGATCCTAGGTAATTCCGTAAAATGTCAATGGGTGATGCAAGCCGAGACTAATAACGCGCAATCTTCAGTTGAAAATCTTACGTGTTTTCAAGAAAAATCTTTCGTGAAACGTATGACGCATTTCTTTATCACCCATATATGTACTTCTTCATTCGCGTAACTTATCTGTCTCACGTTGACGTCTCTAGTTTATTTTTGAATTGTTACAACAGGCCGATTAACGGTTTTGCGCGCGAAAAATCTTCTTATCAGCGATTGGAGTATCCGACGAACAATTTTTTATATCTAACAAAACGTGACGTATATTATGTTTTTTTATTTATTTATTTTTTTTGTGAGAACAATGGAATCAACGTTGCTATCATGCAAAAGACTGTTTATAATTTCTTCCATTCCTTTAATATTTTTATACGTAGATTTTTATAAAAATTAGATTTGCGGAGATATTTGTCTTTTTAAATTGTGCATTATCAAAAAATGCAGAAAATTGTAAATTCTAAACGTCATAAATGCACTATTTTCGTCAAAAGTTTTCACTCGGATCTGAGTGCGTATATTCCTTCCCGAGGACGTTCTAGTCTTTTTTTGTTTCTTCGATATTTTAAGAACAATTGAGTTTCCACGTCGTGAATTTAAGGATGGAAAAATTTTACGGATCCCGTAAATCCACAGACTTAATTCGACAGATTAACACATCGATAACGTAATGCTCCAATAATTCCACAGGTTCCAATAATTCCACTTTTTGTCGAGTAACCGAGTTCCACGCGTAGTTGGAGGGGCTGCACGATCCGAGTAAATCCCTCTTTAATCCGTAATTATTCCGGGCATTAACTCCGCGTGTCTGTAATTATCTGGACACAACCGTTAAATAATGATTATGTGTTTACGACGTGTCTCGTGCGAGAGATCGATGACTGTCCGTCATGCGATCGTACGCTCTCTCTATAGAAAATAAAGACGGACGAATGGAGAACAATGCATTCTTACAAAAGACGCGTGAGCGGAAAGTTTACATGCAACCTCGAGCTTTTTTCACACTCTCTGTGTGATCCTCCCTAAGCAGATTCATCAATCTTCTTTTCGGTCACGTTCCGCATTCTCTTCGGATATTTATATTTTACAGCTGTTTTTGCCCCAGCCCTCATTTATATAAGTCGAATATTATTAAAGTGTTAAGAAGAATTAATACAAAAAGTAGTCAAATTAGAATTAAGCACGCAATAATATAATAAGTGCGCAAAAGTTAAAGTCTACAAAATTAATAATAATTTTGTAATTTTTACTTTTGTGTGTTTATTATCGTGCTTGATTCTGATCCGGTTTGTTCATTTTTTTCTATTTTTTTTATTTTGAAAATCCTTGTTCTATTTATTTATTAAAATTTTATAAATGACGTCTCTAATAAAATTCATATTTTTTTTATAAAATCGATTTGAATCAATGATATTTCAGGTGATATTTTCGATGATCCAGGCCACTTTATTGCAATTTTATATTACATTCTATATCACATTTTTTTGTACGAAAATTTGATACAAGAAGTGAATTATATATGATTTCTGCTGTAGATTACTAAAAGGTTTTAAGAGCAGATAAAATTTCTTGTCGAGATTTTATCGTATTAATTGTTACATTGTCATCTTTTGCTGAATACATAATGCCTGCACTTTTCACACGCAAGGCGCCGGTAATTCTGCACTGTTTGCACAAGCATAATGGAAGATAATGGACTTCCTCTCGCGCTGAAATTGCATATTCGCACGCATTCTCGCAATCCGGGCTCGCAACCCGACTCGAATAAAAAAGACATAATTACAGACTCCGGGCGCCTGGAGCGGCCTCAGAAACTTGTTCGCGATGCACGAAGGCGTAGGAAATATATTTCGGCGAAACGTTCCTTATTAAATGGCCCGGTCCGTTGATCGATTATTCGAGCGTAAAATGCATCCTTGAAATTGATTAATCGTCTCTGACAATTACTTTCGCAAAATGACGGCTCTTTAATGACTCCCAATCGGTCGATCGGAGAGGGAGAGAGAGAGAGAGAGAGAGAGAGAGAGAGAGAGAGAGAGAGAGAGAAAGAGAGAGAAATGCCTTATATTTATGTCTCATGATATATGACAAATTTCGTATTATCGTATTACACGAAAATATTGCGCCGTTGGATATCGTTAATATATGAATTACGATTAAAATGAAATCGTGTTGGAAATTGCTCCTTGCGCTCTTTGATTTTAATCAATAATCTGATATTATCAGAGTATTGGTAATAGTCGGTCATACGACAACTGGTCAACACTACGTCAGGAGATCTCAAGGATTTCTTTTTATAGAAATTTCGTTCTAAGCGACAAGCAAACGAGAATTTTTTTATGCCACGGGGGCATACCCAACATCTGTTCTACTTGCCACGTCGGAACGTGCGGCTGGCAATTCGCCACGACGGGCACCTCTCGCATCTTCAAAGAATCCGCGAACGAGGCGGTAACCAAATGGATGTCTCGTTCGTTTTGCGACGTCCGACCGTTTCGTTGCGCCGCACAACCGGTGTTTCCATTAGGGAAGCACGCCCCAAAATGCACGTCCAAATTTTTTTTACTCGTCTTCCGCAATCTGCTCGTTAATTAGTAATTTGCGTACGTCATATACGAGCACACTCTGCTCGTATTAATCTAATATAATTTATAGAATTTTATATTCAAATATCTAAAAATTTGGCTAAAAAAAAGAATCTGAAATTAATTTTCTTGGACCAAAATTAAATATTTATATGTAGACTGTTCAAATTGGTTGTTAGCATGTAAACAAATTTTGCAATACGTTCATCATGTTTAAGCATTTTGCATAATTAATTAGATGGTCTGACAAATTATCTTCAGATTTCTGCATCTGGTAAAATTTTTTAAATATTTCAGTATAACGTAAAAAAATTTCCGGAACGATAAATTTCTAACGATTAACAACATTCCATTCTTCTTTTCTTCTCTCTGTATTTTAGGTGTTTCCTCATTTGTATTATACTGAATTCAATTTTATCATATTGCAAAATTGATGCAATATATATTTATTTATCGCGAGTTTGAGGCGAGTTTATGTGGAATCGGGTTACATCTTGGGATCGATGATTGATGGCGGTGTTTGATGTCGATGGAACGGAGTTACCGGATGCGGTGCAATAGAGAGTTCGCGCGTATCGTTTCGCGTCGTCGTTAAAATAATAAAATCGGCAATAGGCAATTTGACGGGCCGTAATGCGGCCGCGGCCGCATCTAAGCTACGCGGCGAGTCGTGCGTGCCATCTCGCACGTTTCCCCGTGCCACTTGATAATGCCAGGCTCGGCTCGGTGCACCTACACGTGCATATTCGCACACGCATACGTTCGTCCGGCACGTCGAATTACGGCCGTGTATCCGGATCTAAGTCCCCCCTCCCCTCGCCCCCCCCCGGTTCTCCCTTTCGCGAATCCTGCCGCAGCGGAAGTACTATTTTAAATAGACAAGAGAGCTTCCTTCCGCTCGATGAACTCAAAGAAATGAGGGAAATTAGAAAAAAATTAATAATAACGATCGGAAAAGCAGAAAATCAGAGGAAAGGCGAAGTGAAGATTGCACAATTTTGCTGAAGTTGAGGAAAAATTTGGACTGGATACAGATTTGATTAATAAGCGTAGACCATCAAAAGTAATTATGTTAGATATGACGCTTAGATATGATGATAAAATTTTTTTATAATTCTAATAATCAATTTGAATGACTTGATGGACAAATAAAATTACTTTCAGATCTGTATTTGGTAAAATTTTTAGATACTTAAGCTAAACTGTTCTTTCCATATATGGCATCTGTGTAAAATAAGGAAGGGCAAGGGTAAAAAGAAGATATATAATAAAAAAAGAAGATATAATAAAACTGTCATACTTGGTGGGAGATTGCAAGATATGTGTTGGGTAAATACGCTATTGCAGATTCTCGCGCAATCTGCAAATAAACCTCCTCAATCTCGCCAATCAAATCCTCCTGTGACGTAGTGAGATATCTTTCTTGAAATACGTACATCTTGAGTATGCATTGATTGCATTATATTGCAAAAATAATTAAAATTAGAGAACTAAGAAACATGCGTCGGGACAGGAAAAATGTAAGACGCAAAATGCACGATGGGCAAAAATTTTCGCCTCGCGCGCAGCTGCCCATATCGAATTTTGACTTAATAATCGTGCGAGGAGATCCGTGGACATGCGCGAATCGTCTCGCCGCATAGTTTCCAGCCGACCTCGTCGATTAATCGACACTTTAAGAGAATCGGCAATAAAATGCGCTCGCGTGTAGCGTATTGTCACAGATGTTTCTTATCGGGTCAATCGAGAACGTTAGTCGGAGCGCTCGGAGCGGTGAGATAAATTTCTCCTTGCGAGCAACAGCTGCGCAACCCTCGTGATTTTATTCGCAAACGTAAAATTAGTCCAAGGATGAAACGCGCCTGTATTGATTCACGGCGGCCCTCTTATCTCTGGTTAACGAGAGAGAAAAAATTTTTCCCATCGCGAGAGCATGTCTTACGTTTGCCTCGCGCATATTGACGCTCTTGCGTAAATTGCGCGGGCAACGATTATACAAACTTATTTATTCAATGACATGTAACAATGTTGTTGATGAGCTTCTTACGTTGCTTTAGGAGCTGAATATAATGAAAGGAATAATGAAAAGAATTAAGCATAAAATCAAACTTCGACATATGAGATTATGCTTTAATTACACAAGCAAGAAATAGCAAGATTGTTCTTTTATTGATTGAAAACAATTTTTTGTTTCTAATTTTTTATATTTAATTTTTTATTCCTTATTCCCGTTTATTATGTCTGGGCCATCTGAAATTTTTAAAAATGCTTCCTTATCGATTAATTAACGATGCAAATGAAAAAAAAAATTTCACACCCTGGAAGAAGATATGGATACGTAATTATTTGTTTGTTTTACGATTGATGAGCAAATATGGTTACGATTAAAACTGTCGCAAGCGATAATTTCGTGCTTTGTCACGTCAAATTGCACTTAATTGTATCTGGATTAAGTCACGCGAATTAATTCTCGTAACAAGACAAACGGTTGCTTTGTTTCGTGTCATATAAGAATGGAAATATTTTAAATATATTTCACTTTTTGTTAAATACAATTTTATCTAGGATAACAGAGCATGGAAAAAAATAGTTTTGCCGAAATATCTAAAAATTGGGCTAGATACGAATTTGATTTAATAAAACGATTCAACATGATGATATAAAACAACATTGCAAAAATTTTTTATATTCTCAATCAGTTTAAACATAATTATTTTGATGACTCAACAAAATTATTTTCAGATCTTTATATGGTCAAATTTTCAAATACTTCAGCAAAACTGTTCTTTCTGTCTGCATTTTCGTCTTGCTGCAAAAAACAGGACCTCGAGATATTCAATTTCAATATCGTTCTTCATAAATTGTTCAAGATACTTCGGAGAATTTCGCGAAAGAGTCACGCAAGTATACGCATACACGCATGTGACATGTGTGCGTAAAGAAATTATTTCTTTTTTATCGTCTTTAATATGCCACAAGCGCACGCCTGTCTCATCCCAGCAGGAAATGTCTGATGAAATTTATTAACGAATTCTCCAGTTTCTCACGTTGTCTTTTTAACGGTTTTTTTTTGCGTCATATGGAATATGAATATACGGTAGGAACTAAGAAGTTGGCAAAGAACGAAGATACAGATCTGAAAGTTATTTTGTCGGGTCGTTGAAATACTTATGAGACGCTTAACGATAATTTTTTATGTTCTGACAACCAATTTGAACGATTTACACAATTCTTTCGATGGATATAATTATTTTCACATCTGTTTAAATTTTTAAATACTTCAGAAAGCCAGTTTTTTTCGTGCAATAATAGTTATACTCGACTATCCCAACTTTCTTAGAAATAGTTGTCTTAAGAAATAGTTGTCTATCTCTTTATGCAATTCTGATATCTCGCGTCACATCAAACTGACGATAACAGATATAAGTTATAGCAGATGATAGATAGGATTGGTGAAATTTTTTTTTAACTTAAATTTTAAGTTAAACTTAATAAT